CACGGACATACATGCAGAGAAAATGGACATACATCCAGAGAAAACACACATACACATAAAACATTAGAAAAAGATAAAAACAATGCAGTGTTTTACCAACAACAGCTGCATGCCTTTCAAATTTGGGAAGTTTCTCAAGGTTTTCAAGATGAGGCCATATCAAGTGACTGGCATGTAACATCTAGCTCTGTGTCAGCATGTTATAGAAATAATCACCCTTCCCCATGAGAAATCACTCTGCATGCTTAGAGATTAATAAATGAAAAGCTTTTTACTTAAAAACAAAACAAACAACTCACAGCCAAGGAAGAGTCAGCCCTGAATAGAAGATATTACTGACTTACGTACACCCGAGGCTTATGCATTTCAGATGTACTGTCATTCTTAAGTCTCCACCAGGTCCAAGTTCCAGATCATACCTCACACAATTTGAACAGACACAGAAGACTGCAGATCTGGCCACTTGGACAGGTGGGAAAGTCACACAACGAAGCTGTTGTCAGAGTTGTTTCTTAAGCACACAAGTGTTGTTCTTTTTGGGTAATCATTCCGTGGGTCCATCTTGCCCACCTGGAGGAATTATACTTTTCCTGATAAGAGCCCAGGGAACTTAATGGCAGACCAGGACCTGGTGGCAGCTGTGACTCTGTGGTGTCCTCTTGGGCTGCCTGTGGATGGTGTGTTCTTTGGAGATGGGTCTAATGGCTGGTCAGTCTTGGTGAATAAACATTTACATCCTAGCATCACAAATTTTGCTTAGGTAGCTCTAAAGGCCTGGTAGGAAGACTATCTTTGGGGCATTTTGGAGGCAGTGCTCCTTTAGCTAAACTCTGTGCTGTGTGATTTAATGTTTCCTAAGTAAATTTTGCTGGCAAATCTTTTGTAACATCAATTCTATTACTTTGAGTTTCTTCTATATTATCAAACACACTCTATGATGTTTGCACAATAGCAAATCATCCAATACTATTAAGTGACCCACAACTGTGTTTCCCTCTGGTGATTTGCTCCTTCCTATATTATGAGGAGACTTAGGAACTAAATACTGTGCCTTAAGTTGTCCATGGTTAGATATGATCATAATTACTTTGCAAAACTCTTCACACCGTCACCCTCACAGCATAGGGTTGCATCTCACTAGGGAGTATAGGAGGTCAGAAAGCAGTGGGTGAGAGAGGGAAAAGTGGTACAATTCAAGAAGAGAGAGAGAGAGAGAGTGTGTGTGTGTGTGTGTGTGTGAGAGAGAGAGAGAGAGAGAGAGAGAGAGAGAGAGAGAGAGAGAGAGAGAGAGAGAGAGAGAGAGAAGGGAGAGGAAGAGATTGACACTAAGGTGGGTCTTCCCTAAGCTATGGACCATGGGGATCCTGTACCCTTGCCCGTACCCACCCCTGTCCAACTGTAAGGTCTGCACCTGCAGTTTTCAGTTGTGAAGGCAGACACTGGAGAACATGCAGCATAGAGAAAACCCCGTGAGAGGCCTGTGGTTTCGGCTCCTGAGGTCCATTTCTCTATCTCTTGAGGGCGTATCTTGAAGCCTACCTGGTCTTGAGACAAACACTAACCTAAGAAACTTGAGCAACAGTTACATCATTCCTGCTATTGTCTTGGCAATTGGAATGTCAAAATTCATAACACAGCACTTTCTAAAATATAATTTTAGGCAACTCCGGAAGGTGAGGTGAGCAGGGCTCTGAGGTTGGGTTCTGGGGTTGTGTAAGATTGCCTCACTGAACTGCTCACAACAGAGGCCTCTTCCCAGCAAGGTCTTGGCAAACAGGACAAAATTACAATAATTTATTTATCCAGGGTATCAAATTTAGGGTTATAATCCTAGCCTGAGCCAGGTCCTGCTACCCTTTCTCGATAAACCAACTAAAAGGGTCAAGTTGATATTGGAAAGCAGCAAGAGATTTGTTCAATGTGGCCACACTGTAAAGAGGGATAAAGGGGCCCAGCAAATGCCAAGCCCGTGCTCTGGGCCCTGAAGTGAGATTAACATTTACATAAAGGGAGGATGATGCATGCATCCCAGTGGTACAGGTCTCCATGTAGTCACGCCCGGGGCTCCAGTCTCATTCTGTAAGGCAGTTTGACAAGTTGTTATAAACCTCTTTTCTAGACACAAAGTCCCCCTGTGGCTTGGACCGTTTCCCATTCCCAGTATGGGATTCCTGGGAAACTTCCCATTTTGGGGTGTATCGTCTCTGTAGCCCCAAAGTCTGCTGAGAGACACCAGTGTCTCTTTACTGTCATTGCTGTCATTTACAGGCTCAGTACAGCAGGGACTTCACGTGGTGCCTTCTCTATTCTAACCAAATAGGCATTTTTGGAGTGGCACCACCACAGACTCTATCAAGCTCTCAGCTAGACTAAGGTGCTGTTGGCTCTGCCTTCTAACAGGCTATGTGCCCGTGGCCTCCTTTTTTGTCCCTAGTCTATTGCATAAACCTTGGATTGGCATTTACAAAGCACAAATATGATGCTATATTTCCTTTCCTGCAACCTTTGCTGTGTCTGCCCTTTGCTCTCCCAATTGAAGATGAGCTTCTTGGCTCCCAATCTGTCTTGCTTGTTCCTGTAGTTTTCACCTTGCTTCCTACGCATTCCTACAAAGCCTTGTACCTGCCACACCCAGGCCTTTTTCTGAAGCATTTTTGTGTCTGTTCTGAGATGTCTGCAGTCTCAGCTTCAATGCATTTTGGTTCTCTTTCCTCTTAGCTAGGCTTGGTGGCTTAAATGTACAAATCCCAGTGCTCAGGAAGCTAAGGCAGGAGGGCCACAGCAAGTTTGAGGCTAGCCTGGGTTACATAGCAAGATACTATTCTTTTCTTTTAGAAAGAAGGCAGGAAAAAGGAAAAGGAAATGTGAAAACAGTCCTCAGATACATTCGAGTGCACTTCACCAGCTAAGGCTGAGCATCTCAGGTTGCAGTTCAGTATTTTAAGGGGAGTGGCAGATGTATCAGCAAATTCTGATACAGGAGAAGAGCCACCTCCTCTTGGGGCGGGGGGGGGGCAACTCTACAGATGGGTACCATTCTAGCCTCAAGGTTCCACCTAGTGTCATATCCCTTGACACTCCCTTTTCATATTAGAATCACCCAAGGACCTGTTTACTCTGCCTTGGGGCTCCTGGCCAAGCCTTGCTCACTGCAGTGGCTCTTAGGAGTAGTCTGGAGTATTTAGCACTCAGTGAGTGTCCGATTAAGGCATCCTGAGAGAACAAGTGGCCAAAATAGTGAATGGATAAGGAAATTAACTTCTTTCCAAAATTCTAGAGACTTCCTTGATTCACATGGGACCTAGATCAGATTCAGACATGACAGTTTATGACTTCCTTTGTTTTGTAAAACTAAAACTCCAGGGATCTCCTTCCACTTTGGAACACGGAATTTTGAGTAGCCCATGTCTGTGTTCCCAGCCATGGTCACCCAACATGACTCCAAAACAAGCTGTCTCTTATACCCTTTGAGAGGAGAGCTGTGGTTTTGTGTTGGCAACAGTAACACTTGTGATAATGCATCTAGATCTGAGAGGAGACCTTTCCCTATACTAAATAGGCCAGTTTTTTTCTTAACGGGAAGGAGGGGGCTCAGTCACCATGACTGCCTCTCTTTAGCTATTTACAGAAAATCCTATGGGACTCTGTGAAACCGGGTTGCTCTGAGGTACTTGCTTGGGTTCTAGAGTGGCCACCTACACTCAGGGTTCACAGAGACATGAGACAAGGAAAAAGTGCTCTCGACACTTAGGAATGTTTATCCTCTCTGCCCTTCACCAGAGGCCAAGTCTCTAAGCAGTCCGTGTGGCCTCACAGCTGCCCCAACTAGCCACTTGCCACAATGGCTCTGCCTCCTCCGTGTGTGAACCTCTGCTTCCAGCTTCTTACGGTTCTAGGTTTTTCCTACCTTTCTTGTTTAGCCACAACCAAGACCATGTCTCTTAGATGGGAATGCAGAGGCTGCATGGAGTAGGGGCAGTGACAGCAGCCTCCAGGGAGGTGGGACAGAACTCACAAAGTAGAGCAAATGTCCTTGCTGGGCTGAGCTCTTGGCCACTGACTAGGGACAGGAAGAGCTTCTTCCATCCTGTGGACATTACCTGGTCCTTGTAGTTTATAATTTCAGTTCTCAGGCTCCACAGGCTCTGTGGACCAAGTCCACGCTCTCTATAGGACCCAGGGAGTTTGAAATGCAGAGTCAGGTGGGAGCTGGTCCCCTTCACTGGCAAGTGAGTATTTTCACCCCACCATTCTGCTGCAGCTGTGGTGGACTTGGTGGTAATTGCCACTTCCATCCATGTGAGGATCACAGTGACCCACCAGCACACACATTTAGGATTCTGTGTCTATTGGGAGGGTTGCCTGCCCTCTTGTATCCAGTAAAGAGTTAGTACGTGCCTGTTCTCCAGATATCCGTACTCAGAACACCTCCCCAGACATGGAACAGCTTAGGTCCATTTTGGGAAGACTTTCCTAAGGGGAAGGGGAAGGGGAAGAGGAAGGAGGAAGGAGGAAGGAGGGAGGAGGGAGGAGGGAGAAGGGAGAAGGGAGAAGGGAATCAGGAGAGAGAGAGAGAGAGAGAGAGAGAGAGAGAGAGAGAGAGAGAGAGAGAGAGAGAGAGAGAGAGAATACAGCAATAAGAGAAGTAAGACTGCACAATGCCAATGTAGGAAGGTGTCTGGGAAGGGACCAGATATTTTTGATCTCTGCAGTGACGAGGGCCATGTTGACAAACTGGATAGGGGTGCTGTGATCTGAGAAGTAAGGCCTAACATCAAATATAGAGACATAGTGAGGGGGGTAAGGCTTATGGGTTCAGAACTGACACAGGCTGCTGGCCCCTTTATCTATCTATCTATCTATCTATCTATCTATCTATCTATCTATCTATCTATCTATCTTAAAATTATGACCTAATGGAGGCCTTGAGCTTCAGACAAGGGCAGGGCTGTTTAGCACTCAGACGCCTGGGAAGGACACAGAAACAACATACAGAGCACTTGGATGGATAAAGACTTTATTTTTTTTTAATCATTTCCCAGCCCCACAACCAAGGCCATTTGGTAACATTTCCTTTCGCCTTGGTTGGGCAGATGCAAAGTGGCTGATCTCCTAATTACTTCCCAAGGCCTGAACCGTGGCTGTGGTTATGCCCACGTGAGTTATGTTCGTGCATCTTCTCATGGGTGGCATGGACCATCTTTGCCATCAGGATCACAAACTCCTCAAAGCTCAGCTGCTTGTTCAGGTCTGTGTCCAGGTCCTCCATGATGTCATTTATGAGTTCGTCCTTCCTTTTCTCCTTCTGTAGCGAAATAGAGGAGACTGTTAGGGCTGAGTGTAGTCACGGAAGAGGACCCTGGAACACAGTGAGTGACTGTATGGCAAACACGTAGGAAAACCTTGCCCCCGGGTTAGATTTAAAAATAAAAACAATGTATTTAGTGTTCATGATGGAACAGATGCTAAGCATCTACTAAACACTTTCTAATTTGTTCCCTAGACATCCTCGGACACTAGGACTCTGCTGTATAGAAGGTTAAGCAATTAGTAAGTCTAGAAATATCCCTCACTCATCCTTATAACAGATAGAAATGGAAACGGTTGTAGAAGCTGGGAGGAGAGGATTATGTACCCCCAGCTCTTCTCAACCTCTTAGTCCTTTCCTTGCAGGCAACTAGTTGGCAAAGCTAATTTAGGCTACTTAGTGGAGGAGGCACCCAGGAAGCCATGGGATCTTAAAGGGAAAGCCACGTTCTATTGATCCCAAAGGGTGTGATAAAGTGTGGGGGAAGACTCAGACAAAGAGGAAAGTTTAAGTTTGACAGCCAGTGCATCAGCTGGAACACTGACTGGCCCACAATGCACCCTCCCTCCATTAGGTCATAATTTAAAAAGAAAATGCCCCATGTTCGCCGGCCCCGTTTCCATTGGCTCATCCCTCTGCTTCTGGCGAGGATGTCAAGGTAGAATCCATGGACGGATCACAGAGAAGACACCCGCCAAGCTAGCTTCATGAGCACCCCCAGTCTATCCTGAATCAGTGCCTGGCCTGCCTGCTATGCCCACTAATGGGGAGATGTCTGTGTCCCTAATACCTCCCACGATGACTATGCTCCATTTTCCTTGGTCCCAAGAGGGCAGGGGACCCACAAGGCTGGCTATAATATGGTCAGGTTCCTCACTTCCCTGGGGAAAAGTTATACAAAAATAAAGATTTTCTCTGAGTCTGACACACGTACATACCGACTCCCTCCTCTTTTCAGTTGCTAAAGTGTTACCTACTCAAAGGGGGGGTCCTTTTTATTTTTTAAACCACATACAATCACCCAACCCTGCTGAACCCAGCACAGACTACCCACAGAACTCTTAAGTTCTTTTTGACTTCTAGGCTATTGTATTTGCCTATGTGTCGCCACCACTGGGAAAATGGAGTCCTGATTTATCTCTACACCCATCTGCCCAGAACAGAGCACCACACATTGCAGGTGTTCAACTGAACAAATTCCTGACTCATGTCTAACTTTGAGTACCTCTAGTGACAGAGACTGTAGTCAGCCCTTACAGTCTGATGGAAGGTTCTGGGGTTGTCCCCCCGACTGCTACAGACTGCACCCTTCTCCCTTACTAACCAAGCCTCACCTTCAGAAAGTTTGCCAGATCGGTTTTCACCAGCTTTTTGAATTCACCCTGGCTCAGAGTATCTGGGTGTCCTCCCTCCACAGAGTACTTGTGGAAGATGTTGATGATGGTTTCTATGCTGCGCTCCAGCAGAGATGGTGTTTTGGTGGCCATCTTCTTGTTTCTCTTTGAAAACAGGGAAAACAAAGGTTACAAATGGAAGGATAGGGTCCTGAGTTTCCCGGCCTTGGTCTCCGGCCATTGCCAGGCAGGAAAGGGAGGGGAAACACAAAATGAAAAGAGTAGTATGGAATGTAAAAGCAAAATATTTTGTAACACAACACTCCTAGAAAAAGGGAAGGAAGCTGTAAAATGGACAGGGCCAACCAGGGAGGGCTTCCAGAGAAGGACTTAGAAGAAAGTTGGCCAAGGGAAGGGATGAACGATCCATCAGGCGGGCTCCTCTCCAGAGAATATGAAGCTCACTTACCAAAGCTAAAGAGCTACAGAGTCTGGCAGGAGCAGTGAAGCCCAGCATTTATAGGCTGTCCCTTGCTAGACTCGTGGTTGTCCCTGGGAAAGATTGCTTCACAGGTGAGCAGTGTGGTAACCCTGCCAGTGAGGGAGCTGGGGAGGAGCAGGAAATACAACTCTTTTTTTTTTTTTTTTAATTCCCAGTCCTAGGCTTGGAGCTTATTTGGGAGGAAGCTAGTTTATTGGCCCACTTCCTTTCCATTCAACCTCACCCCCATTTTAAGCAAGACAGCCTGCTTGCCACACCTCTGATACCCTTTGTTTCCCTGTCCTGACTTGTAATATGCAAAGGTGTCAGGAGATCCCTAGGAGTCATCTCATTCTGTCTTTGTTTGCTATGTGGACACTCTGTTCCCCTGAGTTTATGGCTGAGTCTTCTGAGTTTCCCTGGTTCCTTTGGGAAGGGTGAGGGGTTGTCATGGAGTTCTTGAGTGGAATTAGTAGTAGGAGGATCCTCAGAGGTGAGAACTCTCTCCTGCTGTGCTTGAATCTGATGTCTAGAAGGGGACCTGAGCAAGATCTTTTTTAGCTGGTGTATGACTTAGCAGGGACTGAACTCAGATACCCCAGGCCTTGTTTAAGGATATTTACTGCTACATTCCCCTTTTGCATCCAAGTGAGGATCTATCTTCAGTACAGATGCGACTCCAGTGGGTCTCAGCATCACTCTTCCAAATCATGCCTCCAGGGTTCATTCCTAGAAGATGCTTGTTTTGAAAATGATCATTAAGATATATTAGCTGCACAAAGCAATGAATTCCCAGCTGTCATTCATGTCCTCTAGGAACTTACATCCTAGAAGACAGCTGTTTTAAAAATGAGTATTGGCCTATATTAATTATGTAAAGCAAAGGGTTTCATTTTAACATTTTCATACATGCATATAATGTACTTTGATAAAAAATTCCCTCTATTCCCTCATCTTATCCCCCCTTTCTATTCCTTGTCTCTCCTACCTTTCTGATAGTCCTCTTTCATATTCTGGTGTGGGGGCAGTGGTTAATCATCCTTTAGACCTTGAGTCAGAAAGCGGTGTCTTTAGAAGCCTGCCAGGGGCAGCGGGCTGGGCAGCAGCAGGTGTTCCAACCACAGCTCCTCACTTTGCTTTTGTGTCCTGCTTCTCTTACCCTAAATTTTCACATATGAGCAAGACATGGAATGCTTGTCTTGTGAGTCTAGTTTATTTAACATGATAATCTCTAGTTCCAGCCATTTTTCTTGCAAATGGTGCAATTACTTCTTTATGGTAGAATAAAACTTGCTTGTGTATATATAACACTTTTTCTTTATCCATCTAGCCATTGATGGGCACCCAGCTTTCTTGTATATCTTGGCTATGATGAATAGTTCCACAATGAACATAGATGTGCAGGTTCATGTCTATTGTATAGCTTTCATTCCTTTGGCTATATAGCAGGAACAGCAAGGCTGAGCTAGATGGTAGCTTTACGAAGAACCTCCATGCTGATTTCCATAGCGACTGAATTAAGTTACATTCCCAGCAGGTTTCCTTTTGTTCATATTCATTCCAGCATTTCTCTCTCTCTCTCTCTCTCTCTCTCTCTCTCTCTCTCTCTCTCTCTCTCTCTCTCTCTCTCTCTCTCTCTCTCTCTCTCTCTCTCTCTCTCTCTCTCTCTCTCTGAGACAGGGTTTTACTCTGTAGCTTTTTGGCTGACCTGGAGCTTGCTATGTGGATCAGGCTGGCCTTGAACTCACTCAGACCCACCTGCCTCTGCCTCCAGAGTGCTGGGATTAAAGGTGTGCGCCACCATGCCTGGCTGTTGCTTGTTTTCCTGATGGTATCTACTGTGATTGGGGTGAGATGGAATTATGAGTTTTGATTTACATTTCTGAAATGTGTAGTGGTGTGAATATCTGTCATACAGTTATTGGCTGTTTGTACTTGCTCACTGTAAAAATGTCTGGTCAGTGAATTTTCCCAGTTTCTGACTGGATTGCCCATTCTTTTGATAGCTGCTGGTTCCACTTTTTTTTTTGGTACATCTCCCATTAGATGAATATCTGGCGAATGTTCTGTTTCATTATGCAGGTTACTATTTCACTCCTGTACCCTTTGCTGCTCAGGAGCATATTAATTCAATGTAACCTCACTGGTATTCCCTCAGCTGTTGGTATTCTATTACATTAAGGCATTTGATTAATGTTTGAGCTGATATGTATAAAACGTTAAAGAGAGGGATCTAATTTCTGTCTTTGGTGTTGTTTGCTTGAGAAATATCTCACACAACCCAGGCTGTCCTTAAACTTATTGTGTAGCTGAGGATGGTCTTGAACATCTGATTCCCATGACTCTACATCTCAAGATCTGGTATCACAGGCACGCGCCACTACACCGAGCTTATGTGAGGCTGGGGATAGGGCTTCATGAGTGCAAGCCAAGCACTCTACCAAGTGAACCTTATCCTAGCCTGTTTCAGTCTCTGCACGTGCTGTCTGATTTTCCTGGTGCTGCTGTTAAAAAGGCTGTCTTTTGCCCTCAATATCGGGGTACTGTTACTCTGTTGAGAGTCAGTCAGAAAGACATTGCCAGGTGTGGCACATGCCTTTTATATCAGCATTTGGGAGGAGGGGCAGACAGATCTCTGTGAGTTCGAGGCCAGCCTGGTCTACAAAGAGAGTCAGTCAGATGGCTGAAGGTGTATGGGGGCATTCCCAGATCATGTTTTTAAATTTGATGTAATTTACTTTTCATTGGTATATTATCAGGTTTTCTTTTCAGTTGTAATCTGACTTTACTAACCCTCTCCTCCATCTTCCCTACCCTTGTCCTCCTGGTACTTTCTGCTCTCAGTAGCTTCCTGTTCACTTCCATGCCACACGTGTTCCACAGCCTCTCTCTAATTCCTCAACACCTCCTTTCCCCTTGCATGGTCCCTTTTCCAGCTTCTAGACCTCTCCCCACATCCACACCCTCACCTCTACATTTATATGTGTAGCCATCTGCCTCTATGTGTAGGAACATTGAAAGCTAGAATCTCCACGGTGTACCATATTTTCATTATCCTTTTATTGCTTCATGGAAATCTAGGCTGTTTCCACTTCCTTGCTATTGTGACTGAAGCAAGACACATGGTTGGGCAGGTCTCTATGTAAGATATGGACTTCTTTGGGTGTGTGCCCAGGAGTGGTCTAGCTGGGTCACATAGTAGTACTTTTTTAAAACTTTTCCCTATTTTTTAACTTTTAAGAAACCTTCAGGATGATTTTCATAATGACTGTACAGGTTTACAGTCCCAGTGACAGTGACTGTATACTATCCTTGTCATTATAGCTGTAGCGTAAGTTGGAGTCTGCTATCAAGACATCTTCAGTAGCCTTCTTTAGGCCCAGGATTGCTTTGGCTGTCTGTGGTCTTTGCTTTCTCTTTTCTAGTTTTGTAAAGAATGTCATTGGGCTTTTGGTGGTAATTGCACTGAATTGTAAATCTCTTTTGGTAATATAACCATATGCACAATTTATTTGTGCCAACTCAGGAACATTGAATTTCTTTCTATTATTTGACATCTTCTATTTCTTTTTCTTTTATTTCCTTTTTTCCCTTTCACTGTAGAGAGCTTTCACCCTCTTTGTTAGGTTTACTCCTCCTTTCTATGAGGTATAGTGAGTGCGATAGTTTTGCTAATTTCATTCTCAGAAAATTGATGACTGGTACGTACAAAGTAGCTACTGATTTTTATATGATGATCTTGTATATTGCAGACCTTGTAACTTCACTGGAAGTGTTTATCAGATCTAAATGTTTTCTGATGGAGGACTGTGTGTGTGTGTGTGTGTGTGCGTGTGCGTGTGAGTGTGTGTGTGTGCGTGTGAGTGTGTGTGAGTGTGTGTGTGTGTGCACCTGTATATATGTGTTGGCCAGAGCTTGATACCAGGTGTCTTTCTTTATAGCTCTTCACCTTATGTTTTGAGACCGGGTCTTCAGGTAGGCTGGGCAGCCAGAGAACCTGAGGGACCTGAGGACTGTCTCAGCCTTCCTAGTCCTGGTATTGCACACATGTGTGGATACATGTGGATTTTTATGTGATGTTGAGAATCTGAACTCAGGTCCTCATGCTTTCAATGGCAAGCACTCTACCCACTGAGCAATCTTCCCAGCCCATAGAACTTCTGTTCTGCCTTATGGCGTCTTCTGTGTTAGTACCATGGTGGTTTTATAGCTACTGTGTCTCGGCTCTGGAGGGAATTCTGAAGTTAGGTATTGTGATCCCTTCAGCATCATTCACCTTGCTTAGGTCTTCCGCGTACCCTGGGGAGAAGGGTATGAGAGCTAGTAGGGTTGGCTTGGTTCTGTGGGGTCTTTTGTGCTTCCATATGAATTTTAGGATTGATGACAGCTGTTTCTCTACAGCTTCCCTGTGGGCAGCATGGGTCTGCGTTGAATAACTGCTTCCCGTTGTCCACAGAAACCAAGATGTGATAGCCCAGCACACAAACCATCTATACACAGTCTCCACCTTTCTCTAGGCTCCTTTTCACTGCCTTTCACTGTGGATTCCGAAGACCCACCTCTCACTCCTCACCTCAGGAGTGCCCTTCCTCAACCCTCAGTGTGGAATCCTACCACTTTCACGGTTCAGTTCAATGCTGTTCTAGTCTTCCCGTTGGGAGATAATCTCCTCCTCCATACAACACGCTGGCTCTCAGCATGTGCTTTCTTGGAGTAAAGTTACATGAATATTTGCATATGTCTAATAGTTGGTTACAGATTCTCGAGGAGAGGTTCTTGCTCATGTCTCCTCTCATGCATGTAGCTCAGGTGTGACACGCAGGAAACCCTTGTGTTGCTGAATCATCCTGTTTCTTTACTGGCAACCCTCACCCCCTCAGAACACAAGGAGGAACTACTTGCTTTGGGCGGTTCCTTGGCACTTCTGTTTGTCCTGGACTCTACCTGTCATCAGGAAAAGCAACCCCCTTCCCATCTCCACCAACTTTCTTAGAGGCTTTTCTCATTGTCCTCAGCCCCGTATGTGCTAATCCTTGTCCTGAGACCTCTCCTGCCTCGCATGGCTCAGACAGCTCACGTAGCTGTGGTTAAGAGTTCAGAGTTTCTACCTGGAAATTTTTTAAATTAATATTTCCGTTTCCTCATTTGCTATGGATGTGGTCTATTTTAGAAGAGCTTCCTCGTGTTGCTAAGTGGAATGTGTATTTGGCATTGGGTGAAGTATTCTTTAGACATCTGTGAGGTCAATTTGATGTAAGGTGTCAACTAAATTCTGATGTTTCTCTGTTAATATTTACCCCAGATCTGTCTATTAAAGAAAGTGGGATACTGAAATAACCTACTGTTATTGGGTTGATGTTAATCCGTGCCTTTAAATTCAGTAGTAAATTTTACAAAATTGGGTGTACCGGAGTTTGGTACATGTATGTTTGCAATAGTAATGTCTTCTTGGTTAAGTGATCCCCTGATTAGAATGAAGTGTCCCTCTGTCTCTTCTGATTAGCTTTAGTTTGAAGTCTATTTTGTCAGATAGCAGGGCAGGGATGCCTACTTGCTTCCTGGTCCCACTTGATTTGGTCCCATTTGACTGGAGGACTTTTCAGACCCTTGTCCTGCAATCTCTGTGCTCTATCCACACCAAGTCTTTGCTGAGTAGCCACCGGAAGGCCACCTCAGCCCCGCCTACACACACATTGGGCTGCTCCTGCCTCCATGTGGAGGGCCCTTCAGTCATCCGACTTCTGAACTCTTATGCCGAAACCTTCCAAGTCTTCACACATTTCTACTGGGACATCCCTTCTCAGAATCTCTGGTTGCTGGGAAACTTGACCTTCCAAACCCACAAAGCTGCTATCCTCTTTCTTGTCCCTGACCACCGTTTTCCAGCCTTCCCACCTCTCCTGCGTGTTGAATGAGCAATTGTCCTCATTTCCCTTCCTACTAAAATTCCAGCTCTCATCCTAAGAGTCGGAGGTGTCCTATCTCGGTACCCTCCTGCTGGCTGACTCCACCTCATAGGAATCTCCTTGAAGTCTACAACCCTTTGTAGAAAATAATAGGCTTTCCCAAGCACCACACTGCAGGCAGCATTGTAATTACAGGCCTTTTGGTCTGTCTCCCTCACTGCTCTGTTAATCTGCTAGATACGTTTTGCATACGGGAGACTGATAAACGTTTGTTTACTAAATACAGGGAAGGTTATGTTTAGATGGTTGTTTTCTATAATTAAGAAGCTGTGCAACACAGGAGACAGCAGGGAAGAAGACAAGGAAGTGGAGAGGAGTCATGGAGAAATTGGACTGTGGGGAAGATCCTTGTTGCTTCTTTAGAAGGGTATCATCAGGATTATCAAAGTGCACATGCTGCCACCTCGTGGCCCATCTCAGTCATGACAGCCTTGGTACTCTTTGGACTCTTAATTTTTTTTTCAATCTTAATTCACTTTATTTCGTTTTTTCTTGTATAAATTCCCTTATGTGGTAGCCACAGCTTGAGCCTGTGTCGTAAGAATGGAGACTCTATTGTGGGTTTTCACAAGATACTCAATGAATTCCTGATAAGGAGACTTGGTGAATACAGTTTCTTTTCAGAGGTCGGGGGCCAAGACCTACAGCTGTAAGTCTTGGAGATAGCATCTAAGGTGGTCTTGGTAAAGTTGCCCAGGGTGGCAGTTCAGCCCCTGGCTGATGTGGAACAGTCATTAATACCAGTCATCACCAGTAGCTTCCTGGGCACAGGAGCAGACGATGCCAGTGCCTCTGGGGCCAGGGTAAGACACAGGCACCTTTCACCTTTCATGGAACACTGTGGGGCTTGCAAATCTTGTTCCCTCAGTAGCTTCTCTACACAGGGACCTTGGAAAACTTGGCCGAGATGATGGCAATGGCTACTTCCTTGGAGTACTTAACACCAAGACCAGCCTGACCATTGTAGTCCCCAATAGTGACAAAAGCCTTGAGCCTTGTCCCCTGGACAGTCCGAGTTTGTTTCTGAACTGGCATAATCTTTAGTAATCATCATTTAGGGATGTGCTCAGGAAAAGTCAATAATCTCGGGTTCCTTAATGGGCAGGGAGAACAGGTGGATCTCCTCCAGAGATCGGTACCCTGCTCACTGCATGGCTCAGTTGTGGGCTTGAGTCCATGCCTGTGGGAGGGCAGTGAGTGAACCTGGCACATATTCAAGGGGACCTTTTGTTACTAAGGAAGCAGAGGTCCTTCTTGTGATTTTCAGTCTCATGAGGTCTAGGTAATCTATGGGGCCTTGGGTAGTATTTATCCCTGGCGTACAAATAGACTTTGAGCGCCCATGCCACAATATGGGATGCTTTCTCAGTTGGGACTCGGAGGAGGGCCTAGGCCCTGCCCTGGATGAAATGACAGACTCTGGAGATCCACCATGGAGGGCCTTAACCTCCCTGGGGATGGGAGTGGAGATTTGGTAGGGGACAAACAAACAAACAAAAAACCGTAATTCTAGCTGGATGATGCTGGCCCATGTCTTTAATCCCAGCACTCAGAAGGCAGAGGCAGGAGGATCTCTGTGAGTTCAAGGCCAGCCTGGTCTACAGATCGAGTTCCAGGACAGCCTCCAAAGCTACAGAGAAATCCTGTCTTGAAAAACCAAACCAACCACACAAACAATCCCAACTTCCATAATTCTAGTGCGGACTCAACAGGGGGAGCAACGATAATTTATATAGTTTAAAAGGAAAAACCCAGGACAGATAATCTATAAATATTGGCAGCTGCCTATAGGAGGGAGATCAAGCAGAGAAAGAGAAAAATCCATGAGCTAAGCCAACATGGAGCTAAGCAACATGGCGGACAAGCAGCCACATGGTAGAGAGGGGAATGTTAGGGGAAGAGTACAAAGGCCCAAAGTACTGTAGAAAGCATACTTAAGCTTCAACCAACATCCTAATAAAAGAGACAATAAAGAAGAGAAAGGAAAAGCTGTGCCTCTCCAAGTTAGGAAGGCAAAACTAACAACCTGACGGCAGCTTGTACGGAACTGCAGATTCTCTGGGAACAAACAGTATGCTATCTCACTAAAGGGATAATGGTTCCTCCTGTCTCCTTAGCACAGTTTAAGGCAGACCTGTTTCTGTGAGGGGTGATTGATCTGCCTGGCTGAATTGACTTTTAAGTATAGGAGACAATGGTATGAGCATTATTCTTGAGCACTATTCTTTTCGGCTAGGAGGCAACAGCTTTTCCTTCAGTGCTATTGTAACACCTTCCAGGGAGTTTTTCCTGGGACAATCTTTTTGCATGAGGCCATTTCCTTAGGGCCTCTGAAGGCTGCCCTGCCTGCTGGGAGCTGAGAGGCTGTGTATCCCCTGTGAAGATGTCCAAGTCTCACTGTCATGTGAAACTTCCTCTATGGGGATCCACACATCTATATGACCAGGCTTCAGACCAGGAAACCTGCTCAGAGATGACATAATTAGGCCCCGGGCCAGAAGTGGGTGAGGACTGTTTCCTCCCACGGGTCATAGTGTGATGCTGACGGTGGGTGTCGTGGGAGGGCAGGTACGGCGAGCTTCCTCCTGGGAATGTGCTTTCTATGTCTTCCCTCCCATCCTGCCTCTGTGGGTGACCTCGGTAGGAAGGTGTTTGGAGTAATGGCTGATAAATGATTTTTGTTTTTTTGAGACGGGGTTTCCTCTGTGGCTTTGGAGGCTGTCCTGGAACTAGCTCTCGTAGACCCGGCTGGTCTCGAGCTTACAGAGATCCGCCTGCCTCTGCCTCCCGAGTGCTGGGATTAAAGGCGTGCGCCGCCACCACCGCCCAGCCTCTGGTAAATGATCTTAATCAATAGCTTTCAGAACTGTGGAGCCGGTTGCTATTGGCAGGAAGTTCATTGATGTCAGAAATAGCCACCATGCAAGCAGGCCCCGGTTGATTGGGCCTACTGAAGGCTGAGCCAAAGAAAGAGGTCAGGGAAGATGTGGCAATTGGGCCCTTTTCCAGGGAGGAGGAACCTGGGCTTATTCACAGGGCGGATCTCTGTACTCTCAACCCATCTGGTCTCACCTGATTTCCTTTCGGAGCTCTGAATTGAGTTGACTTAGCCTCTGGTCTCTGGCCTCCATCTTTTTTGGGGTCCCTCACTTCCTGTTTTGAGGAAGCAAGAGCCTGAGTACTTCCTTCCTAGGAACTGGGTGCTCTCTAGAGCCTGGGAAAGCAGGCAGGGACACCTGCTAGAGGGGCCACAAGACCTGAAAACCACAGCTGGAGGAACTTGGAGACAATGAGTGGTGAGCTGGCTGTACTCTGACCTGCTGGGCTGGAATAGTACAGAGTGCCCAGGTAATTTCACTTTGTTCTGTGTGAGAACGTGTGTAGACAGTATGTGTACTCTCTCTCCCTCCCCTCCTCTGTGTGTGTGTGTGTGTGTGTGTGTGCACATGTGCATGTGTGTGCATATACTTGTGTGTATGCACATGGAAGTCAGAGCTCGATGTTGGATCTTTGTCAACTGCTTTCCACCTTATTTTATGAGACAGGGTCTCTCAGTGAATGAACTCATGGATTTGGCAAGGCTGGCTGGGCAGTGAGCTCCAGGGATCTGCTTGGCTCCACCTCTCAGTACTGGAATTCCACACTTGCCCAGTCACACTCACACTAACACTCAGCACTTTTTGCACGACTGCTGGGGATTTCAGACTCATATGTTCTTGCATGGCAAACACTTTAGCAACTGAACCATCCCCCAGTTCCAATTGTTTCTGTTTGAGTGTGATCTTTAAGCCATCTATAGAAGGAACTAGACTCTAACAAAGCAGTCATAAGGTCAGGTGTCCTCTGCTCCACAGCCAGATCCAGTCTCTCCCAGCTCCTACACCCCACGTACCTCACATGGCCTTATCCCTAGCTAGAAAGGGAATGTCTGCATTACACTCCTCCATGGGAGTTTGAGTTTCCTAGAGCACTTTTAGATTTTGTACCTGTATATACAGAATGTGTGTGTGTGTGTGTGATTTAAGACTTACTGTGTAAGTATCTACATAAACCACACATAGTAGGCAGCAGTAAATAGTTGCTAGGTGTCTGTGCTAGGATGTTGTGCATCCGCTGTGTACATGGCACTCAGAGGAGCCACAACCAGATGCTGGCCCTCAGGAGGCCCACTGCAAGGCACTATGCAGACACGTGGTGTGTCATTGGCAGCTGGCACAGTCATGTTAACGTCAGTGTCTCTCCTAGGGCTGCTGATCACACTCTGGGTAGTGTCTTGAGACCTCCTGAGGATGCTTCCCTGGCTTCTTGTCTTCTCTACCCTGGCTCTCCCAGTATGGGGTAAGTTTTCTTTTTCTAGACCAAATCTGTGCTCTTCCCTGGTATGCAAGAGGAGCTTTATGGCACCTGTAGACCTGGGGCCAACTTCTTTTTATCTTACCTCAAATAATAGTTCTCAATAAATGGCTAAATTCTTTAAATCTTAAGCTTCTCCATCTGAAGACTAAGAAAAGATTGCTTCCCTCTTAAATTGGAGGTTTCAGTGAGGTAATGCACATGGCTGACAGCACTTGCCAGTAAGAACCAATAAGAGGGAGCAATGGTTATAGCTGTGTCAATATTATGCCAACAAGCATTTTAATTAACTTAGATTTGTACCTGTCAACAAAACAATGTTCCTTTGAAGCAATAATGTAAACTAGTGCCCAGTGACATCCTCACAGTCCTTCAAGTTAAGAGCATGGGGTTGACTGATGTCCCAGCATTGCAAAATTGCAAAAGGCAATTCTCTTCTTCTTCTTCTTCTTCTTCTTCTTCTTCTTCTTCTTCTTCTTCTTCTTCTTCTTCTTCTTCTTCTTCTTCTTCTTCTTCTTCTTCTTCTTCTTCTTCTTCTTCTTTTTGGTTTTACAAGACAGGGTTTCTCTGTATTGTTTTGGAGGCTGTCGGACCAGCCCGACCTTGAACTCTCTATTTCTTCTTATTGCATCTGATACACAAAATGCACACAAAAGAGATCATTGTGGTTTTGAGATGCCAGAATACATTTCCCAGTTGTTTTTGCCAATTGCATATTTAGATATGGCTCATAATTGTTCAATATGCCTAACTCTCTACCTGTAGCAACACATTATCATCCTGGGGGATTACCTGAAGACAACATTAGAGAAATCCATGTTATCACCTGTTAGAGGTTGTTCCCTGGTCATCCCAGAGGGGCTTCCTGGAGGAGGGGGCTCAGGGAGGCAAGAGGGGCAGCTGTTTCTGACTGGAGCTCTGCTATCCCATTATTATCAAAGGGTCTGGAACTCTTTGAAGACACATGAAAACAGGAATGTTCTTTTGCAGGTGCTTCCTTCTGGGAAAAAACACAAACCAAACAGATGTCAGAGGGGCTGCAGAAACTGCTTGGCAACATCTCCCAGTTCCTGGAGAAAGGCAAACTGGGCCAAGATGGTGAGGAGGCTTAGCAATCTGCCAGGGTTCTCATGTGGCCAGAGAGGCACCTCAGGTCTGCAGAGGCAACTGTGACAGTGTGGACAGCATCGATTGTAAAGGGGCTCTGGCCAGCAGTTTAAGTGCGTTTTCTAGGCTTTTGGGTGTAGGGATGATATCAAAAGGGAGAAACAGCATGTGCAGGGTAGAGATTCAATCCCTGAGTTCAGTGTGTCAAAGAGTGAAGGGCGGACGAAGACCCTGCCTAGGGAGAGCCTCTAGGCTGAGGAGGAGACGTGAACCTTTAAAGAGAGTGGAAAGTCACAGAGGAAATGGGCAGAGAGTGGACAATGAGGCTACGGAGGCTGGGTGGGGACCAGCGGATGCATGGGCATCTTAATGTAGTACATTTATGGCGGGGATTCCTGAGATGGGGGAGCAAACTGTCCAGAGTGCCTTGGGAGTGAGAGTCTGCAAGGTGCACAAAGGGCAGGGGCAGGGCCGTCTGACCCCCTGTTGGTATCTCTATGAGGGCATCTTCACCAGCCCGGGGCAGACAAAATTCAGACCAACACGTGCAGCTCAGGTGGCAAATGTAGGCTGCCCGGACTGACATGTGCTGCCTCACAGGTGACTTCGTCATGGTCTCTCGAGAGGAATGGGGCACAAAAGCAACTGGCTGCAGCTCTAAGCTGAGCAGGCCAGCGAAGGTCCTTGTCATACACCATGTCCCTGGTCTGGAGTGCCTCAGCCAGACTGTCTGTGGTCAGAAGCTTCAGGAACTGCAGGCCTATCACATCCGCAACAGCTGGTGTGATGTGGCCTACAAGTAAGTGGCTGGGCCCGGGTCTCAGGGCATGAGGTCAAAGCTGCTCTGCTGAGGTTCTTACAGCTTTTTCCACCCATTTTCCTTGTTTTCCTGGCTGTGGTTCTATCGGTTTGGTAATAAATACAGTATTCCCAAGTCTTCAAGGAATTCTGATGTAATTTTCTGGGAGGTACGTGCCTCTGAGACACTGAAGGAAAATCAAGACATAACTACGCTTTTAAATGTCACTGGAAACTCTTGGTTTACCCGACACACTGCAACAAGAAGTTCTTTGTCCCGGCAGGGTCCTGTCTCCCTTATAAAACTGTTGGCCGCCAGTGTCTAGGGCTTCTTATTGGGTAGCTTAATTATTAACCCATTTCATTTAATCTATGTATTTCCACTCTTCCCTGGCTCACATTGTGACTCCTTTCTGTCTATTCTTCCCAGAATTCTCCTCCTCTGCTAGCCCTGCCTATCCTTCTTGCCTGACCACTAGCCGCACAGTGTCTTATTCATCAATCAATAAGAGAAACATATACACAGGACAACCACATCAACACACAGTGTACAGAACCTTCCTTATACCTGAGTGTGTCTGATCATCTGCTAGTCTGAGCTGGGCAGAACAAGAACCACCGTTTTCTCAAGGTAGGGAGGTTGTTTGGCTTCCTCAGTGACACGCAGAAGCACAGCCATCCAACCTAAACTAGCTGCACCTGCCTCTGTCCCAGGAGGTCTCCACTGCATTGCAGGTGTGGGCTTTTACCTCTCACTGGGGCAACCATCCCACCTATGACCCCACCAGCCAGTCTAGGGGACTCCTGCCTGACTTTGGCCAGTTGTCAACAGTCTGGCCATGGTAATGGCAATGGCTTCTGGCTTTAAGTACCCATAGCATCTCCACTTTCCCACAAAGGCCTCTATGATTCGGAGGAGTTAAATGGCCCCTGGGGGGACAGGAGTAGGTGGGTAACTTCATCAGCCCAGCCCCTCTGATGGATGGATGGTTCTAAAGCTCTTCAGAAGGACGTGGTGGGTGAGTGACAGTTAAGGTCCAGTGCTGGGTGTCTACTCTCAAGCTACCTCAGGGGCACAGGCTGTTGGATTTCTCTGTGTTTTTTCCCCTCCCTGCTCCATCTGTCTGGCTTCTGGGATCCCTCCCCAAACACATTGCCTGCTACTATGTCTGTGTTACATGTGTTGCGTTTATGTAGGCAGTTACCTGGCAGGGAGAAACGAATGAGCAGCCTGTGTGGAAGTTTTGTGGGCAGTGTGCCCTCTGCGGGAAGTAGGAGACCTGTTTTTAGGGATGCATGGGGTCCGTGGAGACTAATATTGTGTGGCTGGGTCAACTGTAGTTTCTGCAGATATCCCAGGTCTCCCCTATCTTCTCAGTCTTTAGGATGATTTACATACAGATTGGGTGTCTGGGAAAGGAAGGGAGTATGTGGTGTGGGTGTGGGTCCCTTTCAATGGTAAAGATGAGGATGCAGGACTTGGTCTTTCTCTTGTCTCAGAGAATCCATGCAGATACTTTTTAGTGTACCTGCCCCGAGCTCTTCTCCCTTCTGAGTCTGGGGAGGCAGTTTCGTCTCTCAGGAATGTCAGCGCCTTCAGTAACTTGTGTTTCCCTGCCCATAGTTTCCTGGTTGGGGATGATGGCAGAGTATATGAAGGTGTCGGCTGGAACGTCCAAGGCTCACACGACCAAGGCTATAACAACATCTCCTTAGGCATTGGCTTATTTGGTGCCCAGGAAGGTAATGGCTCCTCAGCTCACCGCCCTTCAGAGAGTTCCTGCTGCTTTCTCCTGAGGCTCTGCTGCCCTCTCAGGCACCCCGGCATAGTCAGTTTCTCTTGGCATTTTCTTCTCCCTTGGTTTCCAGAACACACACTGTGATGCCCTTCTTTCTGCTCCGGCTTCTTTCTCTAACTCTGCCACATTTCTTCCTCAGGCTCCCAGGCTTCTCTAGGCAAGCTCCGCCTTCTCTCCGAGCTTCTATCTGCTAGGCCCTTGCTCTGCTCTTCTTCAGGCTCCTCCCCTGTTAGCGACTACCACACCTTCTGTCCAGCACCGACAGGTCTGTGGCTGTAGGCCAGGTGTCCCCTCTGTCCATCTTTCACTTCTAGATTTTCTATTCATTTAAAAAAGAAACTACCTTGGCGCCTCTGTAGTAGGTACTTTTCTTGCTGCTGTGACCAAATACCAGATGAAACCAGCTTAAGGAAGGAAGGGGTTATTCGAGCTCACAGTGTGAGGGGAGACAGCATGTCAGAGGCACGAAGTGACATCAGCTGTCAGGAACAGGAGGGTGACATTGGTGCTCACCCCATTCTCTCCTGTGTTCTGCCCAGAATTCCATCCCATGGAAAGGTGCTGTCTGAATTTAGGGTGGCTCATCCCACCTCAGCGAGCACATCCAGCAAATATGGCCACAAGTTGTCTCCCAGACCTCTCTAGTGGACAGTTAATTGCTTTAGTTTTTTCATGCAGTATATTTTGACCATGTGTTCCCCTCCTCCCAGATATCCCCACCTCCCTACCAATCGAACTTCATGTTCTCTCTCTCTCTCTCTCTCTCTCTCTCTCTCTCTTAAAAAACAGTCTAAACAAGACAAAATGAAACAAAAATCTCAAAGCAGGGCAGGACCCATGGAATGTGTTTTGTGTTGGGCAATTCTTGGGACAGTCTTCCATTTTCTTCCAAGCCTGTTGATTCCAGTCCCCTGCGCCCTGCATCCTAACAGGCTGTGTCTGGGAGCTGATTTCTCTTCCTTCCTTCCTCCCTCCCTCCCTCCCTTCCTTCCTTCCTTCCTTCCTTCCTTCCTTCCTTCCTTCTTTTCTTTTTTCATTTATTTTATATACCAACCACAGTTTCCTCTCCCTCTTCTCTTCCCTCACCCCACCTCCTCTCTCTTCCCCCCATTCACTCCTCCTCTGTTCAGAAAGGGGCAGGCCTCCTATGGGAGTCAACAAAGTTCCTCCCCTGCATCAAGGCTGGGTGGGTGAGGCATCCCTGTATGGGGAATAGGTTATAAAAACAAGTCCTGTGAGCTGAGCTGATATATATATTTAATTATTTTTGAGACTGGGTTTCTCTGTGAAACAGTCCTGGCTGTCTTGGAATTCACGTTGTAAGCCTTGTTGGCCTTGAACTCACAGAGATCCTCCTGCCTCTGCCTCCCAAGTGCTGGGATTAAAGGCGTGCATCACCACCACCCAGCTCTGTTAATCTACTTTGTATAGCTAGTTTCTCATTTCCTACTCAGTACCCTTTGGGATCGTCCAGGTAGATTCCATCCTTCTCATTACTGCAGTGTGCAGCCCGAGGTTCAGTGAAGTGAATAGCCCAAAATGACCCACTGTGGGAAAGGAGTCACAATGAGTTTTCATTTCCAATAGGAGGGTGGTCCCCGCAGAGTACTGGGTCCAGAATGCCTGTTTAGTTTATAGATTTATTTGTTGGTTTGAGATTTGAAGCATGCATTTCTTAGATTCCAAATACTTCTTCATGGACAAGGGGCGGCTAGCAGTGTTTGATTCGGGGTTTTGTGCTGAGAAAGATGACAGTACGAGCAGCTGGGGCTCCCGGGCAGAGCTGCCCTGAAGCTCTCTTGGGGGTGGGCAGTGTGGGTATGTAAAGTCTTGGCACAGCACTGGGAAGGGCTTCAACCTGAGCCAGTCAGAGCTCTGTTATCACAGGTCCTTGGTGCTCACCCCTCTGACTTGAGGGAGGAACCTCTCCCCATTGTTTCTTCTAGCAGCTGTGTAGGTTTGTTGGGGGCACCTCAGCTTCTTCCCACTGTACCCTGTTACTAGGGCAGACAGCGACTTCCTATAAACCGCTCTCTTCCAGGCCACAGTCCCAGCCCTGTAGCTCTGTCAGCAATGAAGGGCCTGATTTCCCATGCTGTGAAGAAGGGCCACTTGTCACCCAAGTACATCCAGCCACTTCTTGTGAAAAGCGAAAACTGCCTGGTCCCTCCACAGAAGGGGAGACAGAAGAGAGGTGAGACCCTCTCCCCTTCTGGTCTTTCCAGTCTTACATACTAGGATGGTAGCATTCCTAAATGCCTCCTCCAGGAGTGACCTTGTCAGGCTTTCCTCACATCCTTCCCAGAGCCGTGTGGGCCCAGCTCTCTGAAAGGCTGGTGCTGGCAAACCGTGAGAGGAACCCTCCAGGCCGCCTCTTTCCCCATTAGCTGCAGTAACGGTGCCACATCCGTCGGAGTGGTGTCACATGAACGGTCTTTCCGCAATCACAACACACCTCTTCTTCAGCAAAAACAGGATCTAAGGAACAAAGTACGAGAGCCTTTGAGGCCCAGAGCCTCAGTGCAGAGGGGGAAAGATAAGAATAAACAGATGAAGTACTCAGGATGAGCCAGGTGGTGGCGCACGCCTTTAATCTCAGCACTCACGAGAGAGAGGCAGGAGGATCTCTGAGTTCAAGGCCAGCCTGGTCTACAGAGTGAGTTCTAGGACAACCAGGGCTGTAGAGAGAAACCTTGTCTTGGCAAACCAAACAACAACAACAACAACAACAACAGCCACCCTCAACTCAGTATGTTATGTGCTGAGAATTGTAGGGAAGAAAATAGGCATAGAAAAGGATAGGGCACACTTACTCATAGTTCTTATTCACATGCTTGTACACAAGCACACCTTTATAAATACAGAATGTAACACAAACTTCATGTTACGCTGACATTAAAGGAGGACTTTAAAAACAAATCACACAAATTAGACGCTGTTTTGACTTAAGCAGCGACAGCAAAACCACTGAGGTTTTAGATTCTTTTATTTTATTGTTTTATGTGTATGAGTGCTTTGCATGAACATATATATGTGTACCATGTGTGAGCCTGGTGCCCATGGAAGACAGAAGAGCTAATCACATCTCCTGGAATTGGAATTTCAGGTGACTGTGAACCATTATGTGAGTTTTGGAAACTGAATCCAGTCCTCTGCAAGAGCATCAAGTGCTCTTAACCACTGAACCAATTCTCCAGCCCCAAACCAATGTTTTTCTTTCTTTCTTTCTCTTTCTTTCCTTTTTTTGGTGAACCACCAGTGAGCTTTATTGGGATTAACTACAGTAGTATGGATGAGAGGTTCCTATGACACAGTTTCATCAGCAAAAGCCCACCCCAGCCTGGGTGGCTACTCTCACACCTGGAGCTCACTGCACAATCTGCAGGGAGTTCTACAAGTTGGAGGGTGTCTTCTCCAGGCAGCCCAGCAGGTCTCAGCTTCTCCCAGATGACTCTGCTGGTTTTAGAGCCTACTGCTTATGTATGTGTGGGGACAGGAGAGGCCTAGTAAACCCGGTTAGTATCAAGCAAGGACTTCCTGAAGCTTTTGAGATAAAACCAGAAAGAACTACTGGCCTTTTCTCGGGCTTAATGAAGTTTGGAGAAACTTGTCCTTATGGTCATGAGTCCTGAATCAGTTTGACCTTGAAACTACTGCCATGTATCCACAATGAGGATTGCTTTACACTGGCAGAATTTTAGGGGTTTTAAGTGTCCATTAAACAGACTTCTGGAATAAAGCTTCCGTGTTTGCTACTTGGATCAGGTCACTCCACAGTATCACAGTCAGGACAGGGAGGGGCTTTGAGGGTGGCTGGGAGACCTCAGCATGCTGAGGATCACAGCAGCCTTAAGTAGTCATGTGGTTGGCATAGTGCGGTAAAATGAATCTTTCATGTGTTGTCATTTGTTTTTGTTGTTTTATCTGACAACAGCTTGCCCCCACATCGTTCCACGGTCTGCTTGGGGGGCAAGAGAGTCCCACTGCTCCAAGATGACTCTCCCTGCAAAGTATGCCATCATCCTTCACACGGCTGGGAGAACCTGCAGCCAGCCGGATGAGTGCCGCCTGCTGGTCCGAGATCTCCAGTCCTTCTTCATGGACAGGCTAAATGAGTGTGACATTGGGTATAAGTAAGTGATCCCAAGGATAGGGCTGGTATCCTTTGGCTAGAGAATCTGAATCTCTCAACGGGGGCCGGGGGGAGCTAATTTTGATTGATTATTCACCATATGAACGACCTATAGGTACTTACATTGGCTTTTTACCCACTCTACGGTGCTCTTATTTAGGAGACAGGTAAGGGGGGCAGTCACAGCTCCAAGCATGTCCTCAAAATGTGTGCCTACTAAAGGCAGTGTATGGATATTATGGCTCCCAATGCTTCTGAAGAGGTGTTAGAGGAAGGCACAGTGTGAGAGATTGAAATCTGTAGAGGAAATCACCCAGGTCCACTGTGTTCATGCAACTGCTTCTCCTTACACTGGGCCCAGTCTTTGCTCTCTGCTTGGCTTGCTCTTTCTGGTTTTATTGTGACAGTTCTTCACAGCTAAGAATCTGAACAATGAGAGAGAGAGAGAGAGAGAGAGAGAGAGAGAGAGAGAGAGAGAGAGAGAGAGAGAGAGAGAGAGAGAGAGAGAGAAAGAGAGAAAGAGAGAGAGAGATTTTCCTACATGGAGACACTGGATGACATCCAATAATTTTCAGTGCCAAGATCTTCGATTCCATAATAAGAATGTGTTACCTAGTGGAAGGACATTTTTTCTCCTCCATTTCTTCCCTCATTCTCCTCCTGTGCCTGTCTTTCTCCTCACAACTTTCTTTTTCTCCTCCTATCCTGTTTTCTCCCTTCCTCTCTCCCTCCTTCCCTCCCTTCTCATTTAGTATAATCAAAATGAATACAAAATTCTATGACTGAGTTCTGTTTAACATATGTTAAAAGGTAGTAACTTAAGACTGGCCCCCACAGAAAACAAAATGTCCCACAAAACAGGAAAAACCATCAAAAGATGTTTCTAGAGCTTGAAGGTAAGATACCAGAATACCTTGCTCATTTCTCATCACAATCAAACTAAATATGAAGCCCGAGGATAAGCCACCACTGATTCATATGGTGTGCTTGTATGTGCTAATAAAAAGAGCCACTGTCTTAGGGACATTTGTGGATTAGCTTTTGTATTTTAGTCTTGTCTGTTCCTGCCAGGAACAAGTGTGCAATGTGCTTGCCTCAGATGGATTTGTCACTTGCTACATTCTTCTAAGGTCACTGATTCTCTTCTTAGTCTCCATTTTAGTGAAGTTCTTTAAAGATGGGAGGAAATATTACCTCTAGTCATCTATTAAGACCTACCAGACAATTGCTAGGTTCCACAGGAACAATCTGATGGTGTTCTTAACTGCAATGGAGATGCAGTCATCAAAATTTCAGTTACCAAATTATCAATACAATATCAAATACAAATTTGGAAATCTCATACTGAGGATGGAGCTTTCTCTTTCGATCTCAGGCTCCAGAAGGCAGCTACCTTTTCCTAGGCTTCTGATTTTTATTTTGCATTTTGTCACCATTCTGGAGAGGTTCTGACCTCAGGACCAAACACCCACTTCTCCCGCATCACAGGTCTAGGCTGCGCTCTGGGGATGCTGGAGCACAGGCGACTCTTACCCTCCTGGAGCTAAGACTTCAGTGAGCTCCGGGAAAGAGAGCTTACAGAGTAAGTTTCAACAAAGTGAATCATGTGCTCCGGGGAAGGACACATGGAGGATGAGCAGGATGCAGGGGGAGGAGCGAAGGGCTTGCTCCTCCTCCGAGTAACTCGGTAGCTGGAATCCAAGAAGGGAGTAGGAACAAACTAGAGGAGGAAGCAGCAAGAGCGTTTCAAACACAGGGAGAGCGCTGGATTCCAGAATAAGAATAGTGTCTCAGAGGGGCTGAGAAGTTGCTTATGATCACATAAATGCCAATACTGGATGTGGTGAGAGGTGAGGTTGGGAGGCAGAAGAGCCATGTCCTGAAGAATGATGCATCTTCAACTGGGGAGTTCGGGTTCTGTGCAAAGGTCTAACAGCAGGGTTTTACATGATAAGGTGTGTATTTTAAAAAGACGCCTTGGATGATGTCTTGGAAACAGATCGGTGAGGGTGAACCTGAAGGCAGTGAGATTTGAAGATGTGGTGATTCAGGCAAGGCAAGATGCTGACAGGGGTAAGAGGGTACGGCTGTCAGAGGGAGAAATGAAGAGTTCATGAAAATGAGTGGCTAATGACCAAGGTGCAGGACTATGTCAGGGAGGTGTCTGGGAGATATGGACAACAAGTCTTGTCTGGCAGGTGGATGGAGCGCGGGCTGCGGGCTGGGATGGGAGCCCGTGGATGCTAATTTTCTCTACACAATGCTACCCCAGAGAAGAGCAGGTGGGAGGTGGCTCCAGTAGTGAGTTGTGCACTTTCACGGATGATGAAGAAGTCAAGGAAATGGATAGGTCGCTTCTGAGGGTGTGGAGAGTGAGGAGGGAGAGGCACAGGGCGCACCCCACGGAGTAGCACACACACCTGAGGAGGCTGAGCACAGAGGTCAGACTGCCAGACATGAGGGTGCGTGGACCACTACACAGTGGAAGTCAAGAGAAGAGGATGTCTGGAGGAGAAAGAGAGGTTGACAGGTTCAGCTTCATGGAAACTGATGGTTAGACATTTGGGAAATCGGGGGTGAGTGACAGTTTATTCCCATGGAAATCTGCAAATGTTTTAAGTCTGGGTCCCTCTAGAGCTCCATCCCTCTAGATGCCTTTATTAGCACACCACTCACAAGGACTCTGACTTTCTTGTTCTGTAACGTGGTGTTACAGTAAAGAAAAATACCTTAATAGAGGGAGCCATTATGGGTTTAACAAGGAACCTGGCACTAGGGAAATTCCCTGGAATGCACAAGGATGGCCCTAAGTAACAATCTAAGCAATAGTGGAGAGGCTACCTTAAATGCCCTTCCCCTATGATGAGATTGATGACTACCTTATATGCCATCCTAGAACCTTCATTCAGTAGCTGATGGAAGCAGAAGCAGACACCCACAGCTAAACACTGAGCCAAACTCCTTGAATCCAGTTTCAGAGAGGGAGGAGTGATGAGCAAAGACGTTAAGACCATGCAGGAGAAACCCACAGAAACAGCTGACCTGAATGACAGCTAGGGAACCTGAATAAGACTGAACCAGGCCCTCCGAATGTGGGTGTCAGTTGGGGGGTGGGCTTGGGCAGTCTATGGAGCTGCTGACAGTGGAACCAGTATTTATCCCTAGTGCACAAATGGGCTTTGAGAGCCCATTCCCTATGGAGGGATACTCTCTCAGCCTAGATACACGGAAGAGGGTCTGTCCCAAATAATGTGACAGACTTTGGTGATCCCTCATAGGAGGCCTCACTCTCTCTGAGGGGGTGTGATGGGGTGATGGTGGGAGGAATGGGAGGGTGGAGGGAGAGGGAGCTGGTATTGGTATGTAAAATAAGGTTGTTTTTAATTTAAATAAAAATTAATAAAAAAGAAATGAATGAACTGATGGAGGAAGGTGAGTGTCAATCCCAGAATGCTTCTCTTTCATGCTAATCTCCATTTCCCCTGTACTTCTCCAGCTTCCTTGTGGGCCAGGATGGTGGTGTTTATGAAGGGGTAGGCTGGAACAGCCAAGGATCCCACACGGATGGGTACAATGACATTGCTTTGAGCATCACCTTCATGGGCATCTTCACGGGTGAGTGGAAGCTTTGGGTAGTTGTGATCCTCGTGTAATGCTTGAGGAGAGTGTCTGATTTGAACCAGGAAGACATCAGACTCAGGCATCACTTACAACATCTTTTGCTGAAGCTTTGTATTTATATGAGTGTGGCTGAAGGTGACCCTTAGATCCTAGAGAGAATAGGCACTCTAAAATTTCCTTTTGCACACACACAGACAAGTCTCCCGTCCCTCCCTCCCTCCCTCCCTCCCTCCCTCCCTCCCTCCCTCCCTCCCTCCCTCCCTCCCTCCCTCTCTTGACCCTTTCTCTGCTGCAATGAATGGGTGAAGCAAGGGAAATGCTTGTGTGAGTAATTTGAGTTCCTCTTTGTAACTTATCCTATTTTGGTTCTCATGGTAACAGCTCCAGACTGCTCAGCCTTGTACACAAGGTGGGGATTTGGGGATTTACCTTGACTGCCTTGAAACTGTTTGCTTACTCAGAGCTCCTGACTAGAGCTAGGGCACTGTTGTTGAATCTCTGGAAAGGTGAGATACTGCCACTGCTCCTCATTCTGGCTGGTTTGAAAGTGAGCATTGGATGGGGGTAAGGGCAGGTGAGAAGATTCTGAGCACCGAATCGTGGGGAAGGCCTGTAAACCTCACTGCTCTGACATGCTGGAGGAGATAACTCATTGTCACAGACCCATCTGTGCTTGGGAGGGTGGTTGGCACTGTCATTCCTTCTCCTAACTCGGAAGTAAGAGTGTCTTTTCTTCTTCAAATTTGTCAACCAAGAAGATCTCTAGGCATTGTTCAAATGTTCCTTAGGGGACTAGAGAACTGTCAGAATTCTTCAGATCTGTATTTATAATTCCAGCACCAGCTGAGACATGTGAAATCTGTCTGACTAAAGAGTGGCTGCCGATAGTCAAATATGCTAGTTTAGTGGTGGTCTGGGTGGGTTTGAAGCCATGTTCTGGCTTGATTTTGACACCCTAAGATCTTACAGACAATGGTCTGGCTGTGCTTTTCAGGTTCCTCACCCAATGCAGCTGCTCTGGAAGCAGCTCAGGACCTGATCCAGTGTGCTGTAGACAAGGGGTACCTGACCTCCAACTACCTGCTAATGGGCCACAGTGATGTGTCCAATACTCTGTCTCCTGGACAGGCATTGTACAACATCATCAAGACATGGCCTCACTTCAAGCACTGAGGGAGGCCCCAGTCCCATCCGAGGATGCTCTGCCTCCTGCTGGGTATCTGTTCTCAGCTCCCACCCTGGACTAGCATCTCTGTTCTCTCATTTCAAAACTTACCTTGCTCATCTCCTAGATTGGGATGACCATGTCTTCTCCTGGTGACATCCACCACTGTCCCCCAGGTTTTGTATGCATAGTTCTGAATCTTCTCCCCTGGTCACTTGTCTTCTCAGCCAGGTAAGGTGAGGGGCTGGTTCTTGTCATACATCTATATCCCTAGTTATCTGCCCTTCTACTCAGCACACGGGCACCCGTGATTTGTCTGGAAGCTTCTAGAGCTCATCCACAGGCCAGGCGGGGTGTTCTGCCATTCTCTCCTCACACATCAGCCTGTGCGTATGTGAGTTCTCCCTTTATTTAAGCGTTTGGGTTGGTTGCAGGCTTATCTATTCATTCTCCTCTAGTCTGAAATTCTTCCAGGGCAGCAGCTGAGGTTTCTTCACTAGGGAGCCTATCTGTGTCTAACTGTTAGTAGGTATTAGAGATCTTCATTAGAGAAATGACTGGACAAGTTAAAGACCCCAGTCCTTTCCCGAAGGTTGCCATCATCCCTTTGTGGAAGCCCTGCTGTCCAGCACTGCATCTCTTATTGTTCTCTGCACTGACACTGCTTGGTTGGAGGCTCGGAGCTGGCTGTGACTTGTCCGTAACAGATGCCGTGCCTCTAGAGTCCTGTGTCACTGTATCCATCGAGCACCCTGAGTGCCAGGACCACATGCTTCTCCAAGGCCAAGGCAGACCCGTGCCAACACTTGCTGCCTGGCACTGTGGCCCGCCTGTGCCTGGATGGGTCCCGCTGGGCTGACCCTGGTGCTCTGCAACCCTTACTACCCTCATTCTTTGTTGTGTTTGTTGGAAACACATGAAGCATTGTTTTTCTCTGTGTTATTCTGCAAAATGGAAGGGAGAATAAGAGGGAAATAGGAGAGATGAGTAAAACAAATATGATGTAGGGATTGTCTTGTTTGATTAAATATTGTTTTGTCTTGTTTTATATGCTTTTGTTGCTCTTATTTTAATAAAAATAAATACAAGAGGCCCCCCTCCCTGCCTTCTCATTTTTGCTGGGGACTGAACCTGGAGCCTCACACAGGTTATACACTGAACTACATTCTCTTCTGGAAGAGTGAGATAGAGCTGTCCAGATTCCCAGAGCTGAGGCAAAGTGCTACTGTTCTTGGGGAAGCAGGAGGCAAGATTCCCACCTTTCTGGGGGTGGGACCAGTCTCTTTCCCTCCCTCTCACCGTCTACATCTCTCTAAGTTCCTCCTCGATCCATATGAAAAAATAATTATAGGACTGAGTTGTTAACATTTTCTTGAATTCATGCTATTTTAAATTATTCCTTCATATACCATCTAATTAAAATAAATCAGTGATTGTTAGATGATTGACATTTTGGAGTCATTTTCCAGGCCCTCTAGACAGGATTTCTCTTCTACATCCTTGCAGTAGAGGAGGTACTTTCTGTTTCTTAACTTGTCCCTGAGCATCTGCTCTAGGGATGACAGCACTATGCATCTCTAGGTTGTGGGATTGACCGTACCACCCTGTGTGAAGTGTTACAACCAGTGTCTGACACATAGTGAGCCTTCAGCTGTTGCTGTGTTGCTATTGTAGTCTTTTCCAGGGGATTGCCCGCTCGTTTGGCTCTGCTTCTTCTTGGATAGCAGCTTTGACTTCCCTGTAAGAGTTTATTGCTGTCTGTGTTGGTGGCTCAGCTGCAGCCATATGAGGTACAGAGGAGGAGAAGAAGGCCTGGCCATACAAAAGAGCAGACGTGAAGACGTCCATGATCACAGGAGGAATGAAGGCGAGTCTCCCTCTTCATGGGCATTAGTGCTAACAGATTAATATTTATATATCCTGTAGTTAGTAATTTCCAGTACCAACATGGACTTAGGGTGAAGATGACAGGTTTGTTTCAATTCATGCTAAAGAGGGCAAACCAACTCAGTCAAGGTCATATAAGTCATGCACAGTAGATGACACTGAAATCCTAAAGTAAACTTCTGAACCAGTTACATCTTTGGTAAGACATCCTCTTTTATAATAAAATATGATGCAGTAAACTGTTCCAGAGTGGCAGCAGACATTTTCTGCTGGCCTTCATTTACTTTCATTATTTGTCTACCAGATTGGAGAGTGTCTGTCTGTTCTCCAGTCCCCCTGTGTGCTTCTAGATCTTCACATATTTTTCCCTTACCACCCCCTCTTATTTCTTCCTCTCCAAAGTGCAGAGCTTCAAGTAGTGTGTTTATATCTTGCTTTGATGGTGGTGATTATGTGTCTGATGCAGTATGTGTCTATAGTCAATAGCAAGGTGATCAAGACCTGCAGAGCAAGTTTGGACAACTCGTGTTTATGTGACTACTAATGAAAGCCAGTTTGTGGTGGGCAGAATCCTTATGATCATATGAATAAACTGGCTTCACTTTCCTCAGCTCTGTGGATTTAGCTTAAACGAGTTCATATAAATATCAGCCACGTGGCAGAAACCAAGGCCCAGCCAAAACATACTTCCTCTCACTAAACCAATCTGGCCATCATGGTTGCTGAAGGTACAGCTGGCTGGCTATTTCCAGTCAACATCGTTACTGGAGAGACTCTGCTCCCGCTTGTGAGTAGCAATTACCATAGATTCCTGCCTTCATGGGCAGTGCTACTATTTGTCCTCCTTCCAACGGACACCTGGCACATCTGTGGGTACTCTTCACGCAATGCCTCTACCAGCGCCTCTCTCACTGTACCGTGATGACCTGAATCTCTACTGTGATTCAGCACTGTTTTCTGTAGAGGTGCACGCTTGACAGGAAAGAAATATGGAGAAGGTTGGCAGCAGCATGGAGACAGAAAACACACCTCTCCCCCGATGCAAAGACGTAGAGCATGTGGGGTATGAGACAGAGAGGGACAGTGACAAGGAGAAAGACAAACAGAGACAGAGAGGCTCAGCCGTGAAATCTGTAATCGTGTTAGGTGACGTCACAATCATTTCCTCCCTCCAAACCATACACCTCTTCCTGCTCCTTCAAATACATGGCATCTTTTTTTCTTTTTAAGCTAGTTGCTATTGCATGGGCATATGTGTTTATGTTCCTTAACGTAGACTGCTCAGCTCCTAAATGCCACCTGTATGCATGTTTTGAGGGTTGACTGTTAGTCACAGGACCACCAATTTTTTGAGCTCTTCTCTGAGAAAAGTCACCTCTCCTGCTCCAAGCTTTATCCAGTCTCTTTTTATTTTTTAATATTTGGGACAGAACCCAGGACAAATGGACAACATTTTCTACCAATTTAATGCATTGTAATTTAATTTTATGACAGGATTGCACTCAGTTGTCCAGGCTGCTCTTGAACTCATGATCCTCATCTCTCAGCCTTTTCTGCCGCTGGTGCTATAGATGTCTGCCAAGGCCAGCACAAAAAGAAGTTAAAATTGTATAGTATCATAGATGAAAATGTAAAGAAAATGAAGAATATCCAAATAATAAAAACAAGAGTAAAAATCACATACAAGTATCAGATATCAGGAATTTGTCACAAATTTAAAAAGGTACAAGGTGGGCCTGTCATTGTCACTGTTTCCTGACTCCCCCAGTACCTGTGTTTCCAAAAGTCTTAATGGAAGATTCTCTATGTCTGTTGAGGCTGGAGCTCACTTGATGAGGGTGTCAGGGTTTGCAGGTGCAGGTCCTGAGAGAGCTGTGCCTTGAAGTGTGCTGCTTGCTGTCCACCAGTGAGCAGCCCTCAGGCGCTGTCAGTGTCCCATCAAATGGACAGAGTCTTCGAGGTCTGGGCATCCACCTCAGGGGGCTGCACCTCAGGTGTGTTTGAAAAGCTCTGCTGGAAAGTGTATGGAGAGGCAAGGAGATAGGGCTGTGGTAGCTATTCTTGGTTGTCAATTTGACTAAATCTGGAATTAACTAAAATAAAAAATGGAGGGCACATCAGTTAAGGCTTTGTTGAAGTAGGGAGACACATTCTAATCCAGATCTTTGAGGTAGGAAGGCATGTCTTTAATCTGGATCTTGGGCCGGGAAAACATACCTGTAATCAGGGCTGCACTTTCTGCTGGAAGCTTATATGAAGACATGGAAGAAGGAAGTTTTTAACTCTTTGCCTACTTGCCCTCACTGCTGACAAATCACAATCCTTTATTGGCATCAGTGCCCACTTCTTTGGGATTCCAGCATCTACTGAAGACCAGCTGACACATTGTGAACTGAGCAATTACTGGATTCATAGACTTTTGGTTTGTAGGCAGCCATTGTTAGACTGTTTGGACTGCATCCTATAAGTTATTACAATAAATCCCACCTCTCTTTCTCTCCACATATGTATATATTCTCTCTACACACACACATACACATGCACAATCATTCTTTAAGTTCTATTATTCTAGAGAGCCATGCCTAATGTAGGGCTGAAACCAAAGGTCAAGAAGTTTCAAGGAGGCAGTGTAATATTTGGGAGATAAAGATCATGAATGAACATGATGGCTACAGGATCTGAAGTTCTAAAGAGGACACATAGTGAACTATTTCCTGGGATTATAATTTTTTAATTTCCTACCCATCTACAAAGAAAATAGGGACAGTAGTTGAGAGTGACCTGACATCACAGTCCTCAGACAAGTAGAATAGACCCATCTCCACTCAACATGACCTTCCTGATGTCAGGGGCATGGTCCACAGATCCCTCCAGTCCCCAATGGTTGGGCTTCTTGAAGACTGCTAGTGGAAGGAGCTAAGGGAGTTGAGTCAATATGACTGCTTACCAAGGAGAAAGAACTGAAAGAACATGTGAAGACATCTTCACAGCCCGCATTCCCAGGTGTGTCAGCCCTGCTGTAGTTTTATGAGCTCCGTTAGTGGCTGTATCTTGGTTATTGATGATGGAGTAATGGAGGGATCACTTAGAGGGGAAACTTGTCTAGAGAGACTCTTGGGTACCCCCTGTCTTCTGGAGGCAGCACCTTGTTCACCTGAGAGTCTCACTTCGGAGAACTCTCTTTGTCCCTAATATCTCCTGCAGTGGCATCTCTCCACTTTAACAGGTGCTCTAAGAGGGCTGCTGACCAGTCTACAGGGCTAGGCATAATAATCGACCAACACTGGGACCCATGTCACATGTTATTTGTTTCCTTCCAGGCTTCTGTTTGCCTGGATTTGGAAGGATAACATGAAGGCTTTTTAATGAATCCCCTCACCTAGAAGTGAGGGCGCAATTTTTGAGCAGGTGGAATTGCTGACATTTGACAGTGCTTTCTGCATGCCAGTGCCATTCTGGGTGCTCTCCACATGCTCTTGATTCATGCACTGTCTACCGTAGTCCATCAGGTCTACTGTGAGTGCCCAGCTGAAGCTTAGTGTCCCTCAGCTTCTAGTCAAGAGCTGTCCTCAAGTGTGCTCATTGCCAGGGATTTCAAGATGTGATTGATTTTTACCACTGGATAATATTTCAATGTGCAAATGTGCCACATTTTCATTATTAATTCTTGGGTCGATGGGCATCTATATTGTTTCCAGGTTCTGGCTATTACTAATAAAGCCACTATGAACATAGTTGAGCAAGTGTCCCTGTGGTATGATTATGCATCCTTCGGGTATATGCCCAGGAATGGTATTTTTGGGTCTTGAGGTGGATTGAATCCCAATTTTCTAAGAAACAGCCATACTGATTTATGAAGTGGCTGTACAAGCCTGCACTCCCATCAGCAATGGAGGAGTGTTCTCTTTACTCTACATCCTCTCCAGTATAAGATGTCACCAGTGTTTTTTTTTTATCTTAACCATTCTGATAGTTATAAGATGGTATCTCAGAGTTTTTTGATTTGCATTTCCCTGATGACTAAGGATGTTGAGCATTTCCTTAAGTGTCTTTCCACCATTTGAGTTTCTTATGTTCAGAGTTCTATGTTTAGATATGTACATCATTTTTTAATTGGATTATTTGACATTTTGGTGTCTAGCTTCTTGAGTTCTTTATATATTTCAGAGATCAGTCTTCTTTCAGATGTGGGGGTTGGTGAAG